GATCTTGGAAGTGTATGAAAGAGCTACAGGTCAGCAGGTTAGTTTAGCTAAATCGGCCATCACCTTTGGAGCAAAGTTTCCCGATGATGTCAAGGCTGCGATCAAAGGTGTGACTGTAATTCTCAAGGAAGGTGGGTCAGTACTTATCTGGGCTTACCGGAATGTTTCAGTGGATCCAAAACTGAAATGTTGCCTTTCATCTATGATAGACTGAAGGATCGATTATCAGGCTGGTTCATGAGGCAGTTACCCTTAGGAGGAAAGGAGATCCTCATTAAGGCAGTGGCTATGGCTATGCCCATTTACGCTATGTCATGCTTTAAATTAACCAAAAAATCTTGTGAGAATCTTACCAGAGCTATGGCAGACTTTTGGTGGGATTCATTGGAACATAAAAGGAAGATGCACTGGCTAAGCTGGTCCAAGCTATCTCTGGCAAAGGAACAAGGCGGTTTAGGATTCAAGGATATCCAAAGCTTCAACCAAGCCCTGCTAGCCAAGCAGGCATGGCGCATCCTCAATGATCCGGGTTCTTTGTTTGCTCGACTTTTCAAAAGCCGATACTTTCCCGCCTCAGAGTTTCTAGATGCCAATAATGGTCCACGGCCCTCGTATGCGTGGCGTAGTATCCAGTTTGGGAAGGAGTTACTGGTTTTGGGGATTAAAAAGAAGCTTGGTAATGGAAGGACAGCGTCGGTGTGGGTTGATGAATGGATCGAAGGTGACGTGAGGAGGAGACCATTGATGAAAAACATTCTCGTTGACCTTCTCTTATGTGTGGACAGTTTAATGGATCAGGAAAACAGGTGTTGGAATTTGAACACGCTTCATGACCTTTTCTATGAGGAAGATGTCACCAGAATCTTGGCTATGAAACCAGTATTTACTGAAGAAGATTTCTGGATATGGCCGCACAACAAACATGGGGGTTACACTGTCAAGTATGGGTATTGGTTGAAAAACAGATTGGCGAGAAGTGAGGAAATGAGAGAAGCAGAAGCAATGCCATCTTTAAACGAGTTGAAGAATGCTGCTTGGAAGCTAAAGACACCGCCGAAGATCAAAAATTTCCCGTGGAGAGTTCTAAGCAATGAAATATCTGTGGGAGAGCTTCTTGTCAAAAGGGGAATTAAGATGGATCCGTGTTGTCAAGCGTGTGGGTTTCACGAGGAGACAATCAACCACATTCTGTTTACTTGTCCAATAGCTCGGCAAGTATGGGCCCATGCGTATGTTCCATATCCAGAGGGGGGTTTTGATCTAAACTCCCACTAGGCCAACATTCACTATATGCTGTCCTTGAGTGCTGACAAGGTGATTCCAAGATCTGTGGTGAATGTAGTTCCGTGGCTCCTTTGGATGTTGTGGAAAAACAGGAATAAGCTTCTCTTTGAAGGAAAACAATCATGTTTGATCGAACTGGTGGAAAAAATGTTTGCAGAAGCTGATATGTGGACAATGGCTCAGATTAATCACCAGAAGATGGAGAAGGAAGAAAGCTGGGGAGGCAGTAAGGAGAACGAAAAGAGGTGGAGTCCGCCACCAAAAGGATGGCTCAAATGCAACATTGGCGTTGATTGGTCCAAAAGTGAATTTCTAGGAGGTGGAGCGTGGGTCTTAAGAGATGAGAGAGGAAAAGTTAAGAAGCACAGTAGGAGAGCATTTTCTCAGGTGGGATGTTTACGAGAAGCCAAGCTACAAGCTTTAGTGTGGGCGATAGAAAGTGTCAAAGAGCATCATTTGGACAAGGTAATCTTCGCTATAGATGACTGTGATTTGACGGACATGATTCTACGACCAAAGGCATGGCCTTGTTTTAAAGGTGAAACAGGTTTGATTTTGGGAAAGTTAGCTAACATTAACTGGTGGAGATTGGTTAAAGAGAGCAGAGTAAACAATAGAGGAGCTTTCCTCATTGCTAAGACTAAAGAGGGTTTCCGGCAATCATATGTGGTTTCGGGTCCTCCTTCTTGGTTACTTAATTGCTTTGAGAATGAGGAAGTTTCATCCTCTGTCTAGTTGCTGAGCTCTGGTGTTTGGATTCTTTTTTGGAAATGGGAGGTACAAAGACGGGTATGTTGTGTTCTCTCAGTATTAGCTTCACGGGTATGTAGTGTAGTGTGCCGAGTGTGGCTCAAGATCGTTGTATGGCTTGTTGATGTATATGGATCCTTGATCATTCTAATATATCCTAATAGACGATAAAAAAAAAAGATTATTAAACATGGCTGGTGAGCCTTCTTTCCTTTACGATGGAAGAGATGAATGTAGTTTGTACATACAATCTAGGGTATATCTTTATATAATACAAGAGAACGAGTATACTTTTTTTGTTACTATTTATCCTTTTTGAATGTCCAAAAACATAGTTAAGTAAAACACTATCTACCGAATATAAATTTTATGTTAGTAATTATTTACCAGAAGAATAACCACAAAAATGTTTCTTATAACTCTGAACACCCTGGAGTTTCTTTTAACTCCTCCAAAACATGACGTTAATCTGACAAAAAATTTGTTTGCCAGTATTTGACAAATTTATTCTTTAACAGATAAAACTGTAATTTTCCAAACATCAGAAGACCCTTAAGGGCAGCATTATCAAGAGAAAAATGAAGTGCTTAGGGTCCACCAAAACTCCAAGCCATGGTGCATCTGCCTCCTAAATAAGTGCTATGTTTTATTGTTGTTTGAACTGTTCACGGGTGCCACTAACACGTGGTAGTACGTGATTGGTTCTTTTTCTTTCTTTTTTCTTTAAGATCAGATAAAAAAATAAAAAAATAAAAAATAAACATCCTCTAATAGAGTGTTGGGATAAAAATAACCTAATATTATGATATATTTGCATCTGCTAATATTTGATTATAGTGTAACGTCCAGACCACCTCCACATTTGGAACTCTACGTCTGTAGATTCGTAGACTCTACCATCTGACACGTTAGTTGTAGGTTTTTTGAAATTGTTAATCATTTGTCGATATGTAAATTATCATTCTACTACTGCAGCTCAAAAAAAATCTATTTAGAATTCTTTATAAAAATGTGTCTGAGAAGGTAATTACATTTTATTGATATAGGTCACCAAAACATTTTTACAAAAATTTAAATATTTATTCAGTTGTGGAGGTACATTGAAGGCAGAGGGGCATCATCTGACACCTATTATTATTTGAAAGAAAAAACGGATGAAGACAACTCATTCACATGGCATAGCCCTGCACAAGGACAAAATTTTGAATATTAGTATTATTCTTACTAATAATTCTATACTATTAGGGATATAACCATTGTGTCTTTGTGAAAATAATTTAATGTATACCAAAGAAGAAAATAACCAATCAAAAATGTTTGTTCCATCTTTATCACCATGTCACGAAATAATCATTGTAATCATATCAAAAGGATTATATATCTTCACCCCTTCCGCTGCCAAAAAGCACAAGATGCGCCTAAAATGGCCAAATGAATCGCAAAGCCAACCATAAAATCGGGCAAGTATACACAATAAGCTTAACAACCGAAGAACAGGAAAAAAAGCATAGAATTTTTTACATTCTGGCCCACTTTCTCACTTCATATTTTCATTCTAAGTGAGTTATAGCTTTTGACATACTTTATCTTGATTGAAAGACTAAACTGTCCTCTTAATAGGATAGACAAGCCAAACCCAAAATCGATGATTAACCGAGAGTTGACACAAACCAGTCAAACCGGATTCACATCAATTTCTGTTTTGTCGTCAACCACTTACCCCAATTTGTAGATCTATTCTCTACCATTTCGAAATCACTTCCTAACCCTAATTGTTGAGGACTTTTCAGTATCTCTCTCAAAAAGCTTTCTTCCTCCTTCTCTTCGAACCAAACCCATGGTTTCTAAAAGTAAGAAAGATTCTCTTCCGTCTTCTTTCTAGATCTAAGAAAGCTTTCTTCCTAGTTCCTCTCCGAATCAGATCCCTTCTACTTCCTTCTCCAGATTTTTCTTTCAAGTCCGCTTCTCGATCAGCTCCCTTGTACTTCCTTCTCGAGATTCTTCTTTCAACACAGAAACTCGTCTTGTTTAGCCATGAAAGGTACGGTTCCACTAATTCCTTCTCGCGGTTATTTTCATCTCATTAGATCTGGATTAAGTTCTTTTTTTTTTACATCGGTCCTTTTACAGAGAAAGCAAAACTCGACAATCGCCTTCCACGGAGGCTGTTTGCTACTGACCGTTACCCATGCAATCGTCTCAACATTTACTCGAAGCCTGACTACCTAGCTTTTATCCGGCATGTGCTCCGTGATACTGAGGAGTTTGAGACTATCAAAGCATCTTGCTTTGGCAAGTTGTTCGATCTTCCTGCGCGCCAGTGTCCTGTCTCGTGTAAACTTATACACTCCTTCTTGACGAGACAAATTGTTTGTGTGGACAAGCATACTCTATGGTCTGTATTTGCCGGCAATCCCCTCCGCTTCGGTCTTCAAGAGTTTGGGTCAATCACTGGTTTGCCATGCGGAGCGTTCCCCCCTGGCTACAACCCCAATACAAAGTGTTCCCCCAAGTCAGACCCGCGGAAAGATCCCTATTGGGTTAGACTCATAGGGAAGAACAGGTACACCACTATTGAGGATCTTCGTTACCAGCTCCAGACAGACAGAAACATGCCAAGCTGGAAGAAATTGCGTCTGGCTCTAATAATTATCGTGGATGGGGTTCTTATAGCCCACGAACAGAAGCCACGACCAACTCTGAAGTTTGTTAAGCTAGTGGAGCATCTTGATGTCTTCTTTCGGCATCCGTGGGGAAGAGAATCCTTCCTCAAGACTATTAACTGCATGAAACCTCCCCCGGCTGTCGAAAGGCAAGTTGAGGAACCCACTGAAAAACTTGTTAATCTGCTGAAGCAGGAGTCTTACAGACTCCAGGGTTTTCCACTGGCGCTACAGTTGCTCGCCTTTGCTGCTGTCCCGAAGTTGCTCTCCACCATCCAAGCTCCCAATGACTCGCTGACGATAATGGATCTCGACGAAGATCACCTACCCATGTACCCATCAATTGCGACGCTCGACATCCACGGTGTGGAAGCTGATCCTAATGTGAGTTATTTAACCATTACAGTTCTTGTTACTTTTTCCATGCTAACGTTTTTGGATAACTTATTTCATCCTAACATACTTTGATAACTCACTTATGCTTAACTAACTTGTGCTTGCTTTTGTAATAGCTTGTAGTCACAGCACTGATACCTTTAGAGAGCCAACCACAGCCTGGGTGGGGAGTGTGGCCTGATGTCTGTGACGATCCTGAGGTATCATACATGGAGCAACTTATTGCTGACCGTCAGCCGTTCACAAAGTCTATGTGGCCCGGTGGAGATACTTCTGAACCTTTCATCATTTTCCCAACCGTTGTCGAGATAATTCCCCCCAAAAATCGCACCACAAGATCAAGGAAACCACAAGGAAACCATCTTAAACTGAGACATTCCAACAAGAAAGCTTCGTCTTCCCGTAATCAGAGACGCATCAGCACATACTTCTCCAAAGCTGCTGCCCCAAACAGTCAACACGAACAGCTTTTGGGAATCCTTACTGATCTCTCATCAAACTACTCCAAACTTCATGAAGAGTACCAGAGTTTGCACAAATTGCTGAAACGAAGGAAGCGTCGTAGACATTGCAAGCGGTCATCATTTCACTCTCTGCTTGCTTCTTCCAAGACATGCACCCGATCAGACAAAGGTACTCAGACGGACCCTGCACAACACTATGTTCAGAAGCAGTGTTCACCTATTGTCCCCGTACAGACATCTGATGCTTCTGCCAACATCGTTGTAAGTTTACATGTATATCATACGAATAACGATATCTTTCATATTAGTTATCTTTTTTAAACTCGATTAATATGTTCGTTACAGCTTGAGACTCATGTGGACGGACCTCCTCCACCATCTTATACTGATATTGGAGCCAATATCGTTGTGAGTACACCTCTTATATACTAGTACAATTATATACTATTACTGATGTCATTTATCTTAGTTTTTTAAATTCCCTCTGCATAACTATGTGTCCCTGCAGCTTGACACTCATATGGAGTTACCTCCTCCACCAACTTCTTCCGGTTCTGCTAATGACAAAGTTGTAAGTATAACCACCAACTTCTTCTTCTTATATATACTATAGCATCTTGTAAGTAATTTTAGCATGAAATCTTCATCTCTATCCCTCTGTCTTTTACAGCTTCGCTCTTCTATGGAAGTAGATGATCCTGCAGAACACTCCCCACTGATCAGCCAGTACGGTGCACAACACTATGTTCAGAAGCAGTGTTCACCTATTGTCCCCGTACAGACATCTGATACGGTTGAAATCACACCTGAACACAACAAGTTCCCCGTACACAATACGGGTGTGATCAACTCACAGCTCCACCAGCCAAGCTTGGAGCTTGTTCAGGGGTCTCCTAACACATGTTCTGCCTTGTATGACACCAGCCCAGCTCCACTCAATCTTGTTGACTCTCCAGCACCCGATCCCACTAGCCCTATTTTTGCGCATAATCACATGAACTCTCCCATTCTTGGGGACCCAATCACACCCACCCAGCCGAAATATGACTCCTCAGCACACACCGCATCCCGCAGGGCATGCCTTTTCCCATTGTCCCCCCTCCTTTTCACGCCAGAAAATTCTCCCAATAAGAGTTCAGATAAAATTTCGGGCTTCGCTGTACATGCAGCATCTCTTAATGCATTCTCAGCAACCGCTACATCAAAACCAACCGTATCCACATCTCTGGTCCCTATAGTACAGGTCCGTCTTACCTCAACATTCTTAAATGTACTCATCCATTAACGTATATGGTATGACACAATGTTCTGTTGCAGGCACAACCAGAGAATACCGAAGAGGCCGTGGAGGTTAGTGACGGCTCTCCAGCAAGGCACGCTCCCAGTCATCTGCCATGCATGGAGGAAAACTACGTTGCCAAGGAACTATACCGATGTCCAACAATCCCAGCTCCTGATCTTATTTGCCCACTCCCTCAGATACAATGGGATATTTTCGAAAGATCAATATCAAAGTTCGGGGATGCGTAAGTTCCCTGGCTCTCTAATTCATTTGTGGATGGCTCCTTGCTCACGTGTGGATAAATATGTCACAGGTTTCATATCACACGCACCAACTTTGCTTTCTCTAACAAGTTTCTCCTCGATCTAGCTGTGCCTCAGGAATGGACTACAACATATGTAAGCATTATAGACTGATATAAATCTCGTCACTTGCTTATCCCATAAACAAAGGTACTAACTATTTTTTTTTCTGCAGCACATGTGTATGCTCATGCACATGTTATCTGAACGGCACGCAGATCTCCTCCAAAGTCAAAAACTCTGTTTCACATCTCCATTCCTTACATCTGGCATTCAGCAGATGTATCCAAAGTTCAGCAGGTCAAGTAAGAAAGCAACATTCAACTGGGACAGACAGATTTCATCAATTGTTCTCGAGCCAGGCAAGAAATGGATGGAAGATGTAACTACAGTATACACACCCATGATTTGGGACGACAAACATTGGGTAGGTCTTGCAATCAACCTTGACTTGGGACTCGTTGAGATATTAGACCCATTGCCTACACTGAGCAACGATAGAAAAGTTGAGAGGTACATGAATCCAGTCCTTAAGTCCCTCCCTTACCTTGTTAAGAAGGTTGCCAAGTACGAGCTGACTCAGTTCCGCAAGTTAGATCCGTTCACATGGATCCGTATCAAAGACATCTACATCAATGAAAGGTCTGGCGACTGTGGACCAGTCAGCGTCAAATTCATGGAGATGCATGCACATGGAGATCCTGCACCGTGCATGTCAGGCATCACAGACAGTTTAGTTGACGCGTTCCGCAAGCAGTACGTTCTGGATCTTTACAAGACCCTCGTGATGCCGACATACTACTCTCCACCCAAGCCTTAGTCCGAAATGCAACCCTTCTGTAATTTGTTTTTTCTTTTTCTATCTAAGATCTCACTCGGTTTTTGTTTGGCTGTTTAGGTTAGCCAAACCATTTTCACCCCCAACTTGACTGTTCGTCATATGTACTCCAAACTTTCGGCTACTTTTAGTTTTTGTTAACTCTTGTTGGAATGTAATATATTTGATGTTTTAACTCTAGTTCTTTCACTTTTAACGTCTCAAAAAGTAGATCACAGGTTTGTGTGTACGCTCCAACACTAATATGCATCGTCTGTACGCACTTCAATCCATCGTGTGTACGCACTTCAATCCACATCCACAATTTTGCTGAAATATGCATCGTCTGTACGCACTTCAATCCATCGTGTGTACGCACTTCAATCCACATCCACAATTTTTCCCCAATTGCGATACAAATCAAAACCAACCCAAATTAAGATACAAATCAAAACCGACCCAAACTTATAGACCGGTTATCGTACCATATAACACTCATAGACCTACCTATAAAAACAGAGACAAACCACTTTCCCAATCCGCGATTGTCAATTAGGGTTTCCGCTAAAAACAAATCAGTCAAAATTCTCTCAATTATAATGAGTTCCTCCTCATCCTCGACGACCGCGTTCCGCAACGGCGTGTACGGTGTCCCCCGCCGATGTTGGTGTGGGAGAAACCTCACGACTTTGGTCTCCAAAACAAGAGAGAACCCTTACAGAAGATTCTACCGTTGCGTCATTGGTTCCCCTGTCTGCTCCTAATAATTTTCTTTGCAAACCTAGTTTTTTCCATATGCAAAGATGTTGACTTCTAATTTTCTTTGCAAACAGATGGAAACAGAGCCCCATTTGTTTAAATGGGAAGACGAGGCTTTTCTGGACGAAATTAAACTGGTCGATGCCAAGCGTCTTGATCTTCTCCACGATGTTCAACAAATTTCCAAAAGTTTCAGGGAGCAGCTAGCTGCACAGGAATCTCGTCTGGAAGATATGAAACAAGAATTTGATGCAAAATTTGAGGCGGTAAACATCAAGCACTCGGACCTGCTAAAGGTATCACAAGGACTTGACGGACAACCAATTCTCCTCAACACCCCAACTACTGCAGTGCACACTGGCTCGATGCAGAACATTGCTGTTACCATTGCAGTACTTGGAGCTATGGCATGGTTTTATTTTAAACTAGCTTGAAAGGGGAGCTTTCATGTTTCCATGTGATCTCTCTACAAATTGTTTCATCTTAAGTTCTAGCAACGATTAGCTTTAGCTTCACATTTAGCACTTCCCTAAGACCATGTTTTAATGTAGAAGCTACCTTGCTTGTGTACGAGTAGCATAATCCTTAACTTGGGATGACTTATCAGACTTATCAATCTCAAACGCAGTTTGGCTGAACATCTCCTCTTTATCTAACTTCTTTATCCTTACAAACTCAGCAGCTGTACTCCATTTAACCAGTAACTCAAGACATATACACCAAGATAAATAGAACATGTAACAAACTGTTGTACTACCACACGTACACAACTTTTCACCCAAACATCCAAACTGGAATTAGATGTTCTGCAATTACAGCACAAAATACTTAACATGTTCTGCAATTAAAAAACAAAATATTGAGTTTCAATCTCTACCGATGTAGACATATAGCACTATGTGTCTACATGTTCTTCGATTACAAAATTAGCCGCAAGATTAATGGGAAAAACAAACATGCTCCGAATTTTAAAAATCAAATAAAAAAAAACACTCCACCGGCAAGAGGTTCTATCATCCTCCCCAAGAAAACAAATCAGCCATAATTCTATATTGGAGCAGTGCACCTCGTCCGGTTGTGCCCCTCAACACGGCACCTCCCACATTTATTTGGTATCTCCTTCTTCTTCCTAGCCACCACCTGCATCAACAATAATTGACTATAATTCCATGTATTATCTTTGGGTCATCCACAACATTAAAAGACAGACCACTCACCGGGAATTCACCAGTCGAAGGAATTCGATTCTTACGACGCCTCCCAGCAAGTCTCTTGGTTGTTGGAGGCAACAACACCATCTTCTGTACGTCTTCAGGGATTTCCACATCACGTGCATCACCGTGGGGATATATGACCCCCGCATACGTCTCTCTCCACGTTGTGGTCTTGTACCAGTGCCCCACCAATGTATCATAAGGCACTCCTAAATGATCAGCTGCCATAATGGCATGTCCGCATGGGATTTTTATTTTGTCAAAGTACTTGCAGCTGCACTGCTTATCATCAAGGTGCACACGGTCCGAACGCCCAAACTTGTTAATGATCTCACAGCACCAATCTGTTGAAGAATTAATTTTGCTTCCCTTCACAGTTGACATGTTTTGGGTTATCTCCTTGTCCACAGAAACACTAACAAGTCCTCTATGTTTTTCTGCTTTGGCTCTCCTAGCCCTAAACCAGCGAGTCATCATCCTCTGTATGAAGATCACCAACTCCATTATAGGTGATGTCCTCCCTTCCACAAGAGCTTTGTTCAACTGCTCAGCTATATTACTTGTCATTATATTGTACCTATCAGCTTGGAAATTTGCCCTTGTCCAATGCGCAACTCCTATTTTCCCTAAATACACACCGCAAGCACTGTTTGTCGCTCTGATCTTCGCATAATGTTCCTTGTATGTAGCCGGCCTGTACGCTGTTGCACAAGCTACCACAGTTTTCGCCAAACTTTTGCTTGAGTATCGGGAATTGACATTTCTAGCTAAATGGACAACACAATAACCATGCTGAGCTCGAGGATAAACACGTTTTACAGCTGTACCAATACAAGCAGCCCTGTCCGATATTATTGCAAGCCTAGGTGAGTCACCCAAAATTCGCTCTACCTTTTGAAGAAACCAAGTCCAAGCATTCTCGTCTTCAGTATCTACGACTGCATATGCTAGGGGAAATATTTGGAAATTCGCATCTTGCCCACTCGCAGTCAACAAAACCCCTTTGTACTTCCCCCTAAGTGTGTACCATCAATCACAAGCACCAGTCGAAGCTTTCTAAAGCCCGCTATGGAAGCCCCAAATGATAAAAATAAATACAGGAAGCGTTCATCTCCATCCTCATCTATTTCAGTTTCTATATCAGCCACCGTCCCAGGATTTGCAAGCTTCAACATGTGGAGATACTCAGGCAACTTCAAATAAGAATCTTCATCCGATCCAAAAATACCCACAACAGCCTTCTCCTTCGCACGGTAACACTTCATGTAGGATGCAGACACCCGAAGATCCTCTAGCAATAGTTTTTGTAATTCTCTTGGAACTGGACCTTTCCCAGGGGCCCCAAATTTAGCTTTGTAAACAGCAGCTATGACCTTAGAAGTTGCTCGGCTTTTATAACCCATTCTGAAATCTACAGGACAACTATGATCTAATTGAGCTTTTCTTATCTCATAATATCCAGTCCCCCTTATCTCATGAGCTGTCACCCTCCAGCCGCAACGTAGGTCGGGGCATTGCACAACGAAAGAGTCGATTTTTGTTGTTGTTTGCTTGAACCTGAATTGCTTTTTAATTGCATAAATTGCCAATGAGATTTGACAATCCTCTTTGTTACCAAACACCTTGCCAACATATATCTGCCCATCGTCTTCATTGATATCCATGTCTGGTATCTCAGATGCATCATAACTAGTATCATCGAACAGCGGCGGGATGTCGAACTCCTCGTCTGGAATTTCATCTAATTTCCGTGTACAGGGAATAGGAGGACCGTCCACATCTCCGTCCATCCACGGCTGTCTATCCGCATGTTCTCTGTTCTCATGAGACCCTCTGCTCGAACCAGAGTGTGGCAAAGGCTCATTGGTGCTGGTAGCGAAGTACCGAGGACCTGACTTCTTCAGTATCCCATCCACAATCTCATCTTCGTTATAAATTACATTCACAGCGTCAGACCCACCATAGTCACCACTTAGTAATGGACTCCAAAATTCTTTGTCATACCCTCTTGTACGGATGTCCCTCTCATCGATCTCCTCAGCCGTTACCCCCTCTTCACATTGACTACCACTTACATCACCTCCTTCGTTAACTCGGTCATCTCCACCCGTTACACCCTCTTCACATTCATCCGTCAATTTCTCTGCCTCACCAACAAACTCCACATCATCCAAATTCACTGTAGGAGCATTCCTAGCCTCTTCTAACGCACAAGGACGCTTGCACATTCTTGGTTCTCTGTAATTAAAACCATAGTGTGGGCCCTTCTGCTTCAAACGAGGAGGAGCACTAGCCATACTCTTGTACGGACCAGGAGTGACAAACCCAAGACCAGAGTCATCGATGTTGTCTTCCCCGTCCATAGCTGGAGACCTTTCAAACTTAACAAACAAGTTCATTGCTCCCTTTACCCTTAAATGCTTGTGAAAGTAGTTAATTGCTCCATCACTGGTCAGCAAAACAGGAGGAGTAGTTATCCCAGTTGCAAGCTCCAAGCTTGTAGGTGGCCAGTAGCTAAGTGCAGCGTTGTAAACCGCCACATCAAGCTTGAACTCCCGCATGACACGGACTTCAAGTTCGGTCAAGGTCATTCCTTCGTTGACAAGCACAAGTCTTGCCATCTCCTTTTTGTCTACTACAAAATCCCACTTGTTCCCGGGTCCACACACCCAATCCCCGCAGATAACCATACAATGCTCCTCCATTGCACCAACCTGCACATAACAATGGCAAACCATTAATTACAAAACCAAATAGTACACTAATACAAGAGCAAATCATAACTGAACACAACAAACCTTCACAAAGCAATTCAGAAAACTTCCTCAGATCTTTGAAGAAGAAAGACATATTATAATTCTAAACCTACGAGACCTGCATTTAATGAACGTCGTTGTCTACATGTACTATATTTTCCTATTTTGAACACCAGCCGTTGGATCTCAGCCTTTTTTTTTAAAATCGTGTGGTAAAGATCTATCACAGCAGTCAAGGAAACAACCATAATATGCCAACAAATGTTCCTAAACCGCCAACATTCTAACCATCTACCGATAGCCTAACCGGAAAACCGTACCGAGCTCCTCACTAGAAGGGCATTTCCGCCAAATCATGAGTCTCTCACCAAAGCAAAGTATGCTACCAGCTGGATGTGGCTTTCTGTGTAAACGAAAGTCAAAAACTGGCCCATTACGTAACCAACTCCACTCACATAACTTTTTTAGACACCTACAATAACTTAAGGCTAGGAAAAAAAAACCTAACTAAGAAACCTATAACTGGTAGGATTCATGTACGAGGCCAAGTAAACAATTAGGAATGTAACTCTTCTTGTTTACATAGAAAAAGTGAACTTGGAAACCAAATTATCTGTAGTCGATTGTGCTTCACAACTAGATAATGAGCCACTTGTGGATTTGCAATATGGAAGTAATTGTACTAACCCTTCCCTCGGGATCATACACAAACCTCATCAACATTTCATTAGTCCAAATCTCTTTGTTTCAATAAAACCATTGTCTTACATAAACTCAACTTAAACAGACCGAAAGAAGATGATAGTAATAGTCTTTAAATTCAAAATAACTTAAAGAAAACACAAACCCAAAAAGATAACACCATCAGACTCCTAATCCTCGACCTCCTCGTTTGTACCTGTAAAGAGAGGGGTGAGTATTTGGGAGTACTCAGTGAGGGTACGTTATAGCTAATAAGAACTAACATGCGACAAGCACACAATTAACCTAGACCTAGGACCTACCGCACGTCCCAAGGAGAAGCCATAACGAGTCTTCCTTTGCTGCGAGTTCCTACGGCCGCCCTTGCGGGCTATGATTCGTAGCATCCTATGTGACTACACGGTCACGGCCTCTTTGGCTCAATTAGGCACTGTCCATTCTCCGGCACCATAGTCACTTATTCCCAGATTCGGCATGACTCGATTCTACTAGGTGCCACACACCACCTTCCACATTCCCCATGTCCCCACACGTCCACACCCATTCTTGGTGCCACATCACACACACAACCATACTCTTTATACTTTCACATGATCACATTCATATCACTTCCATTCTCATCACATCACGTTCATTCATAGCACACAGCTCATTCATTCTCATCTTACAACCGGTAATCCTTTAACAACCTACAGATCTAGATATTCTCATCATATCCACACAATCAACAACTAGATCTCACAGATTTATCAAGCAACAATA